TGCGGTATAATGTACAAATTCCAGGGGAGGTGCGAGAGGAGAAAGTTAAGATTTTCATCCTGCTGAGGGAGATGGAAAAGTCCCATGAGATTGATGACTTTCCCTCCCTTACACGGCGGTAGAGTCCTAGCCTGTGAAATTAGATCTCTACTAGCAATTCGTGGCAGAGAGAGAACATCTACCTGCCCCAGGGGGAAGGGAACGAAGTTTCCTTGTGGTCATGTAGTGCACAGTGGGCCAACTCAGTGAGTCTTCCTGAAGCCAGGGGGGGATCCGTGAAGGCTGTGGGTAGGATGTCCTTCACAGCCAAGGGTCAGCCCAGGACTCCTAGAAGTGCGAGGCTTATAGTGGGGTGAATGGTCTCCCCTGTTCCTCTTCCACTCCTGCATCTGCTTGGAACCTGCAGATGTGACCTTATTTGCAAATAGTGTTCGCAGGTGTATTAAGTTAAGCATCTCAAGATGAGATCACCTTGGGTTATCTGGGTGGGCACTAAATCCAAGGGGATAAGCATCCTTATAAGAGAAAAGGCAGAGGGAGATTTGAGACTCAGAAGACCACAAGCCAAGGAACTCCTGGAGGGATCAGAAGTTGGAAGAGGCAAGGAGAGCCTCTTCCCTGGAGTCTTTGTCTGGAGTGCAACTCTGCTGACCTCTTGCTTTCAGACCTCTGGCTTCCAGAACTGTGAGGGAATAAATTCCTGTTGTTTTAAGCCACGATGTTTGTGGTTCTGCGTTATGGCAGCCTCAGGAAATGAATACAGGGCTGCAGGTGAGGAGAGATGGAAACTGACAGAGAAGTAGGTAAAGTTAGAAGATGAGAGCTGCTAAGTTCACATGGCAGGGGTCAGCCTGGAGAGTCCTCTGGAAAGGGAGCTTTCAAGAACTTTCGTGTGGCCCATGGAGGTCACACTGGTGCAACCAGCAAGCTCACGGCCAGGTGCTGTGGCAGAATTAGAGGAATGGTGTCTGGGGGTTGCTTGGACAGCATGGCCACCATAGGAGGACAAGGGGGATGTTCTGCCTGGCTGAGGGTTTGAATAGGGTATCACTGGCGGGGGGCGGGGGGGGTGGGTAGAATAAAAGATGGCTTGGCAAAGGAATAAAATAAATTTCCTCTGCCTCGGAGAGATCACTGGTGTTGGTGGTCTTGTGGATGGATTTCAGAGTGGAGTCAGCCCACAGCTAGCATGGCCCTTGACTACGGCTGGGTCCCGCACCCCTCAGGCCTATAGGAGAGCATCCCCAGGACATCACAGTGTGAATTTTGGGGACCTGTGCCCTAATTAAAAGACTTCATACATGCTTCGCCATTACAAAGTGAACAAAAAAATTACTACGAAATGAAAAAGTTGCTACTATTTTTATCTTCTAAGGCAATGACACATTATTCCCATGGGAATAATTCCATTGCCTTTGAAAAAGCCCTGATGATAAGCCCTTTGGTTGAGAAAAACAAGACTTCCTGGGCACATTGAGGAGGAGTCAGAGGGGACAAAGTGCCTTCTTGTTCTGCATAGTAGAGTAAAACTGAGGGGGCTAGGGTCTGTGAATGGGGAGGGAATGAAGTGAGGTGGGTGGTGTCAGCAGGAGCTCCCAAGAACGTGGAGGGAAGCTGGGCGTGGTCTGTGCTGGAATATGGCTCCTGAAAAATTTACTTTAGTCAAGAATGGCCAGTATATGTCTACCTTTGTCTGATACTGAAAGGAAGCCCTTTCCTGCTCTGGGCTGTTGTCCATTACACTCCAGCTGTTAGCAGAATTCTACACGCATGCTCTTGTTAGAGACGTTTCAGGAAATGTGGGAAAACTACGGTGTCCAGTGTGTGCTGAGGGGGGATATGACTGGGGGGGGGTCTACCTGTCACAGATACTGGGAATGGAGGAGCAGGGATGGCGGGCTGTGGAGTGGACTGACTCCAGGGAGGCAGGGCCAGATCTAGATCTGAGGGACGCTCTAGATCTCCTGCTGTGTGTGTGGCCTGGAACCTTTGTTTTATCTACTAAAGCAGGAGTTATCCCAGAAGAATGGGGGCGGGGGTCATTCAGACTGGAGGTAGCTAGGCACCTGAGTAAAATCAGATGTGCTCAGGATTTGGGGCTGAGTGGGTAAGGTTTGGGTATGCCGCATTACTATATAAACAGCTGCGTTAATTATTGTATGTTGTTAAACTCAATATAATAACTCTTTGGTAGAGCATCTGCCCTATATTCAGAACATCCCCCAAAGGATGAGTATATGTTGTTGGTGGGGGGTAAGGTGGATACTAAGGACAGGGGAAAATGGAGGAAAACTACGTCAACCAGAAAAGGCCCTAAAACCACTGACTGGTGGTGCACAAATGTGATTCTCCTTGAACAAGGAGAGCCGAGAAATGGGCCAGCAGAATCACAAAGCTATTGGGGGGGAGCTGGTATGGGTGACTGCAGAAGGAACAGAACGTTGCCAGCTAGGAACATGCCATTCAGCACTGCGATGTGAAGTCACCTTGAGAATGGGGAAGTGATTGTTGGAATCTACTTGGTAAAAACTAACGAAAGTGGGACTTGTTGCTAAATGTGTTTATTCTGTCAGATTATCAGGCTTATTCTTTTCGGATATGGAAAGATTCTGAATATTCAGTGATAGGTGGGAGTGAAACATCATTCAGGACTTCACTCCAGGCTCTCAGATTTGTGGGCATAATTTAACAGGACATCAAATGTTATTACTTTAACCATCATAATGCCCTGCGGGGGGGGCGGAATCCTGTTTGCTTATCAGGGACCCTTGACTTTCCTGTGATATCTTCCCATTGGGATTAGATGGATGTCTGCTTTCTGACTCCTTCGGAGGCTTGATTGAGGATTAGATCACTCAGTCCCAACTGGCCATTTCTCTCGGAGGATGGGCAAATCAGTGCTAATTGATACTTTTTATATTTAATTACACTTAATTTCTTCTGTCTGGGTGCCCTGAAACCGAGAAGAGGAAAACAGTGCTCTACATGCAAATCTTCTAACATAAACATTTCTTAACCTCATTTGCTGCAGGATTAGTCCAAATATAGAATCCTTAAGATAAAAGCTGCTTACACTGGTTTCTTATCTGTATTTCCATCCTGTCTCTGGAGTCCCTCTTTCTGGAAACCATCTCTGTGATGGGAATTTGCTTATTCTCTATTTCCCTAACACTCAACTCTTCCATATTTAGTATTATAACCATTTCCGTCCTTTTGTTAGTTTGCCTAAGCTAATTCCATAACCCGCAGGTCTGTTTCTCTGCCTTCAAACCACCAGGCACGGGGCTCTGGTCACAGTGCTCTTCCCAATGGTTTTAATGGCATCACCCCTCCTTCAAAGCCTTGATACTTCCCACTTCCTTCTGGATAAAGCTCCTGACCCAGTCCCAACTCACGATTCCAGATTTTCTCCCAAGTCCTCAGGACTTACACCTGCTTGCTTCTCTCCCTCCCTTTGCTGGTGTGAGTGCTGCATCCTAGTCTGGACACTCTCCTCACCTCCTCTTGTTCCTCCCCTCTACTCTTTTTTTTTTTTAAGATTTTATTTATTTGACAGAGAGCAGGAATACAAGCAGGGGGAGTAGGAGAGGGAGAAGCAGGCTTTCTGCTGAGCAGGGAGCCCGATGTGGGGTTCGATCCCAGGACCCTGGGATCACGACCTGAGCTGAAGGCAGATGCTTAACGACTGAGCCACCCAGGCACCCCATCTCCCCTCTACTCTTGAGGACCGTTTCACACAATAAATCTCTTGCATATCTAATCCTGTCTTGGTGTCTGGTTTTAGAAAGATCCAAAATGGCATGAAAGGGTTTCCAGCCTCCCCTCACACTTACCAGACTCTTAGATCCTTGGTTTGACCCTTGACCCCTTATTTCTTGGTGAGTTCCTTTAGAGACTTGCCTTTCTTGCCAGTGGACCCTGGGGAGGGTCATTCTGGTCTGGTCCTTCCTGACAGATGTCCTAACTATGAATCTTGGAGTTTGGATTGAGTTTTCCCTCTTTAGAAAGACATATAGTTCTTTTCTGCAAATTGTCTTGTCCCATCCATGGAACTCAGCACTCAAGGGGAGAGACATCTTCTGTGCCTGTTTTTTTAACATATGTCCTGTTCCATCCTTTTCTCCAGAGTGAGGAAATGCCTATTACCCTTAGAGTTTGAAATCCAAGGCAGAAACTGTTTAAGTTATTTAAAAAACATTTGCTCCTGGTGAATATTTCTACCCCTGGACTTAATAGAGGCTCATCTGGTTTTAGACATCTCTTCAGTGAACACCTTTTCCAAATATTTCTTTTTCACTATATTGTAAACTTTTTAAAAAAATTGTAAGCTTCCTGAGAGCTGCTTCTTGTGTTTCAGATTGCTCATTTGTAATATTGAGGGCTAGATTAAGTTATTTATTTATTTATTTATTAGATAGAGGAAGAGCGAGTGTGTGTGCAAGCAGGGGAGGGTGGGGGAGTGCAGAGGGAGAGGAGAGAGAAACTCTCAAACAGGCTTCATGCTCAACGTAGACCCCGACATGGGACTCGATCTCACAACCATGAGAGCATGACCTGAGCCAAAACCAAGAGTCGGACACTTAACTGACTGAGCCACCCAGGTGCCCCTAGATTAAGTTATTTTAAAGACCTCTTTTAGTTGTGTGATTTTCCAGAAAGATCTGTTAGAAAGGGCCTAGTAAATTACTTTCTTCCTCTGAATATTGTGTCCATTCTCTTTGATAATCTACCTTTCATTTCTACAAAGCGTTTTGCAGTTTGTTCACATACATTACGTTAGTTGATCCTTGTATCCACCTTGTGAAATGTCAGAGTAAATATTAGCTGCCTTTTACGTGTCAGGAACTCGAGACTTGTTGAAATTAAATGACAAGTCTCCAAGTGCCTGGGGGAGTCACTGGGTCTGGTGCCCCATGTCCTACTAATCCCCTAACTCAAGATGATTTTCTTTTTCCTTCATGACCTACAACTACGAACTCAGCATTCTTCAGAAAGCACCTTCATGTTTCTCTTACTTTCAACCGTCTGCACTTAGGCGCAGAGGGTTAGAAAAGGTGTCCCAGATTCAAATGCCTGAAAAAGTAAGTCAGGGTAGCAGGGTCAGAATCCCACAGTTGGGAGGGAGGGGACTGTGGCAGACAGAAGAGCACATCTGAGGGAGACAGTACCCAGTCAGTCCTAGCCCTTTGTGCCATTCAGGAATGCTGGCCTGGGGTGGCTAAATTTTCATTTTTCCAAGGAAAGCTGGAAATAATATATTTTAGTGTGAAATCTGCATTTTAAGGTACTCAAAAAAATTAAAAAAAAAAAAAAAGAAAACCCTAGAGGCACCTGGGTGGTGCATTTGGTTGAGCGTCTGACTCTTGCTTTTGGCTTGGGTTGTGATCCCATGGTCATGGGATTGAGCTCAGGGTCTGCTTGAGATTCTCTCTCCCTCTCCCTCTGCCCCTCATGTTCAGGTGCTCGCTCGCTCTCTCTCAAATGAATAAATAAAAATAAATCTTAAAAAAGAAAATCCTAGGAGGCCAAAATACATCTATAAGTGATGTTTGGGTCCATAGATCCTCAAGTTAGGGGCTTCTGATTTGGAGGGATAAGCCATATTTAACTCACTCTGTAAGTTCCCCTCTCAAAATCCTGTGAAATCATTTGGTGAATTTTACCACCTTTACTAAGAGTTTGGTTGTAAATATTATAAACAGGAATAAGTCATCAATTGTTGGATGCTTCCTGTGTTCTGGGGAGTATGCTGGGTATTTGGTGCACAGCTTCACTAATTCGAGCAACCTTAGGATACATCTATTTTTTACCCTTATATTACAGATGAGGGAGAAGAGGTCCAGAGCTGACCTAGCTTGCGGAGGCCACACAGTCGGTAAGTAGTGGAACCAGAATCCGGCCCAGGTTTCTGGCCTCAAAGTGCGTTCTTGCTCTTCATTTAATACACATATTGCCAACATCCTCAGAGAAGAGAGAGAGGATCAAATGAAAAATACGGTACTTCTATTTTGAAACAAGTCAAAAGTGACATCTTGTCATATGTATGGAGAACTTAAAAGACAAGCATAATCCTATTTTTTTGGTGGGGGGTGGGACGGGGAGTGGAAGAGGTGTGTTTCTCTTTGCAAACCTGGACAGGGAAGACAAAAAGAGACTGCCCACAGTAGGATGTGTTCCTCCTTTCTTTCAAAACTCTAAGCCAGAAATAGGTTCCCGACCAGCTAGTGTTTGGGTTTTGTATTCAGACTTTGTCTGCATTGACCACAATGTCCTGCGAGATGGCCACTAGCTTACTTCTGCTCCCTCTTGACTCCGGTTTCCAGAAAGCAAAGCTCGGGTGAAAAAAGACCTTTTGTTTAGGATCTGAAGTCAAGTCCAAATATAACAAGATCCCAATAACTTCCTCCACCCCCTAGGGTTTCAAACCAAATTCACTCTGCCCAGATGGCTGCTTCAGAAAGACAGAGCATTCCCCCACTGCTTCCTCTTTCTGCTGGCTGCCCACTGATTACAGCTAATGGCTCCCAGCTGTACAGCCTCTGAAGACTGGGGGGAAGACGAGTCTTTGAAAAATAATTTAATAACCAGACTCCTCCAGGGATGGGTGGGGTTGATGCCAATCCTGTTGGAGCGCACTCTCATTCAGAATCTAGCTGGATGGCGTGCTTTGGAGAGAGAGGAGTTGCTATGTGCATTTTGAAGCCCTCTTGGTTTTCCCTATAAGAATCTGATACTCTATTCCTTAAGTGTGGTTGAAAAAAAATTCATCTCCAAATGCTAAAATAAAATAGATATGTATGCCATATACTTCTTTAGCTTCAATTCAGAGAACTGTTGGAACTACCTCTTAGGGCTATGACTTTATCCAAATCACATATACTTTAAGATCAATCTCTTTGAATGATTTTCTGCCATGTTTGTATCATACAAATAATTCGATGTCTACGGTATTTTAAAACTTGGCAACCTAGAGTGTCCGTTTCATCTTTGAAATACCAGATTCTTTGAAAGGTTGACTTCAAATACTGTGACCCATCAGAGCAAAAAATTAAAGGTCAAAGGATACCACCCATGCAAACTCTTGGTAACAGATTTATAGGGCTTGGTGGGCCTTCTTCATTTTCTTCCTCTTTCTTATTTTGGATGGGGAAGGGAAGATGAAGGAGTTTCACCAAGCTAAAATTCGATGGTTTCCTCAAACCCTTTTTCTAGAACTGTTTAGTTGTATTTGGAATCTCCCCTCCATGAAACTGCAGACAAGATTTATTGCACACATCCATACGGAATGTCACCTGTGCATCAAGCCAGGGGCTGAGGTTAGATGCATAAACAACTTGTTGGTGCTTCACGTCCTTTCAGAGCACTGGCTGAACAGATCACAGTCTTGAGCAGTTGACCATGGTGTTGTCTAGTCCTAGAATAATCTCTTTATGGATCATCTCTTCTTAGGAGGTAATGTGGCTTAGTGCAAAGACATGAGCTCTGGAGTCAGAGTTGTGTTTGAATTTTGACATGCTCCTTGCTTTTCTGAGCTTTACTTTTTTCGTCTGTAAGATGGAACTTGCAGGCTTGCTGTGAGGAATAACATCATGTTGGGATGCTGGCAGGGTGGTTTGTAGGCCTCCTTTTAAATAACTGAATTATGGCCTTTGTTATTATACTCCATTCATTATATGCTATATACTTATATATGTACATAAAATCAGGCAATGGAGGTCTTCATTGTGCTTTCAATTGACTCACAGGGAAAAGAGGGAAAGTGAATTTTTATTATAAGGTACTTACAATTTAAATCTTACTTTCATCGTGTTTTAATCTTCAGAGTAATCATGAGAGGTAGATACCATTAAACCTATTTTAAGGATGGGGAATTAAGTCTTGGAAAGGTTAAGTCCTGTCCAAGGATAATATCTTTGGAGGATTTTTCAACTTGGTTGTATTATATAAATTTGAAAGCTTCATATTCTGGCATTTCTACTTTGGCTTTGAAATACTGGATCTTATGAAAGGTTGTCTTCAAATGCTTGTTCCATTCAGGATTCTGTACTATTCAAGAACACAATTAAACATGAACAGTCTATCGTAGGGAAACAGAGTCTACGAAAGAGGCCTGCTGCTGCTTTATGGTTACTACTAAGCATTAAGCTCTTAGAAAGCTGAAGATTTTCAGCTTGATTCAAGGGCTGGCTCTCTTGGGAATGAGTTCAATAAGAGCAAAAGATAACTTACCATGAGAAACTTAATCAAGATTCTGACTTCAATGGAATCTCTCTCTTTTTTTATATATAAGTATAAAATCCAGAGAAAAATGTTGCATAGTATATGAATGGCTACTATTTTTGTGAATTTACTAAAGGGGCAGATACAGAGCTTAGCACTTTACAGGAGTAGCTCGCCTCCCTCCTGCCCCACCCCTTCCTTCTTCCTTTCCTTCCATTTCTTTCTCTCCTCTCTCCCTTTCTCTTTCTCCCTTCCTTCCCTTCCCCTCTTTCTTGATTATTTGGGAGGGGCTATGTGCCTCACATACTTTCCACCCTTTCTGTAATCAAACCCCACTTTCTGATTATAGAGGGGGGGCATTTGATCTGGATTAGGCCTTATCTCTCAACTAGGAATTTAAGTATTACGTGTAGAGACCAGGGACAAAGCCAACTGGAGTTGAGTCATATAATGGATGGACCTCAGCTGGGTAGTCCATGGAAAGGCTCCTGCTACTGACCCCTGGGCCCATGGTTTTTGTCCATGGTTTTTGCGCCTCTTCCATAATCTGGTGAGCTGTCTCAGTATCTTTCCAATACATTGTTTCACTTCAATTATCCAGAGTTAATGTTGTTTAAAACCAGAACCTTAACGACTAGACATATATGAGCTACCTTAATCTTCACATCTATCTACATAGTAGGTGTTATTCTTCACATTTTACAGATGAGAAATTGAAGCTTCCTGATGATAAAGCTTTGATCAAGATCATACTGTTAGGAAGAGGCTGAGTTGGTGTTCAAATTCAGTTCTACCCTACTATGAAAGCCAGTATTATACTTACTATGCTTTAGTGGTTTAAAATTTAAAGGAAAATGAATAGCTGGAATAAAATATTTGCAGTGTTTGAGACAATCCACCGTGCTTAATAGCTTTAAATTATAAAGAATTCTTAAGATTAGAAAAAAAATTTGACATACTAATGGAAAAACTGGGCAAAGGATGTGAATACCATTTTTTAAAAGAATTAGTAACAATGTGTCATACATATAAAAATGTTTAACCTCATCAATACAAAAAAATGAAAAAACAGTGGTGCACCATTTTCAACTTCCTTATTGATTAAAAAAATATAAAATTAAGTTTGAGCAAAAGATTGGTGAAAATTTGTTTCTACAGGTCTGTGCAAACTTTAGTGAGAGAAGTTTGTTCAAATACATTTAGAATCTCAAATTTGCTCAAGACCTTTGATTTAGCCATTCTAAGAAAATAATCAGGGATATAGAGAAAGATTTATGTACCATGGTATTTTCATAATGATATTTCTAATAGCAAAAATAAGTAAACTAAGTGTCTAATGATCTGGAAATGGGAATAATTGGGAAGAATGTTAAAAAAGCAGGAGGTCCCAATATTCTCTCACTTAACAATTGTTTATTGAGCAGCAACAATGTGCAAGGCACTGTTAGAGGTATTGGAGAGACTGCAGTGAGCAATATAAAGTCTGCTCTCATAAAATTCCATTCTCGTGGGGAAGATGACAAACAGATACATGTATGATTATGACCAATATTATGGATAAATATAAAATAGAGTTAAGGGGATAGAAATTGATTCAAAGCAGGGAGCACATGTTTCAAGATCTGAATGGAGTGCAAGATTAAGCTATGCAAAGATATGGAGTATATCCATGAACAGTTGCCATAATACGGGGTAACAAATCACTGCAAAACTCAGTGGTTTAAGATAAAATAATTCTCTCCACATAATTTATTCTTTCTGAGGTAGGTAGACAGGGTTTAGCTGATTCAGTCTGAGCTTGTCTGGGCTTGGCACCAACTTGAAAATTATGCTCAAGTCTGTGTCATGTGAGTCTCATCCTTCTTGGACAAGCAGGTTAGTTGGAGCATATTCTCCTCATGATGACGACAGGGACAAGAGGACAAGCCCTGTCATACAAGCATATTGTAAACCATTCTTTGTGTCATGTTCACTGACATTCTATTGCAAATTCCTAAGCAAATCACACTGACAAGCCTGATCTCAATGACAAAGGGAAACCTATCCCATCCAGAGTAGAAGTAGTAGGTGAATGAATATGTGATGAACAGTAATTCAAACAATGCTATGAGAGGAGAGCATCCCAGGAAGAAAGAAGAAGAGCTTGTGCAAAGGTCCTGTGCTGGAAGTAAGCTTAGTACCACAAGAAGGCTAGTGAGGTTTAAGTAGAATAGGCAGGAGAGTGGGATAAGAGGCATGTAGGCCTAGATCATGTGTCTCAGGGCCAAGGTTAGGTAGAAAGTTTAGATTTTATAGGAGGGTATTAGACAACCATTGGAGGCTTTCAGCAAATGACAATCTAATTTACATGTGAGAACATGACCCTAATTTTATTTTTATCTTTAAAGATTTTTATTTTAAAAAAATTATTTTTTAAGTAAGTTCTATGTCCAATGTGGGACATAAACCCATGACTCCAAGATCAAGTCATGAGCTCTACTGACAGCCAGCCAGGCGCCCCGAGCCTAATTTTATATAAAAAGATACATGTCTGCATGGAGAAAAGACTGAAAAAAAAAAGACAAATGTAAACAGTGGCTTTATCTCAGCAGTATAATTATATACAATTTCATATATGCATTATTATAGTTTCCAAATTTGGGAATAATCATGAAT